TTTTCTCTTTAGTACTTCCTTAAGCCTGAACCATGGCATAAAAAGACCAAAAGTTATAAACTGCACCTGTAGTCTGGTTCGGCTCTTAAAGATGTGTATTTCAATGTATCGTTGCAAGGAAGGATTGCTTTTACATTAAGCTCCTCAAGTACATACTTCATAGATAGGAAATCGTTAGTATCAACTCCAAAATCTTCAGATAAAGTCTTACAACTAGAAAATGTTTCAAATACTAGCACACAAAGAGTGATGGTGATGCAGACCAACCTTTGTTTCAGAACTATTCAAGAGAACACTTCATCTTTTATATTCTCTTGCCCTTATTTTCCTTAAGCATTTACAATTAGTTATTAATTGCATAACCAGTTACAGCCACTTGTTGGTCGACTCATCTTTTCAGCTATATGTATGGTTTGGAGAAAATTAGTAGGCATTGGATATTTTCTAGAAAAAGGACATTTACGAGTATATACAATTTACTCCTCTATTTTTAACTTCCCATCAGGTAAATACCGAAGTTGTGTCAAACCGGCGAGTGACGACGATCACAGTTGGGATGAGTTGCGAGAAGCCCAATCAGCTCTAGATCGCAAATTTGATGATATTTCCACAAGAATTCGGTTGCTCGTAACTGAAATGAAAAGTGAACTGTGCAATCTCAGAAATGGTGGCTTCATACATCCGGCAATCTTACCGGTAGATCCAGCAAACCTCGCTGGATATGGAGAAACCACTGAGATAAACCTAAATCAATGACACAACCCATACAATTTGCCACAAAATTCTTATTATCATGATCTGGGAGACAAATCCATTCACCATCGACGAGCAATCCTATTTGATTCCGAGTCCGAGGAGAAACCAATTCCTATATAACACCAACACCATAATCATCATTTGTTCCATCGCACACCTGGAGAATTCAAAATGAAAATCGATATAACCATTTTTTATGGTCGTTTACACGTTGAGGATTGTTTGGACTGGAAACAATATGTAGAAAATTCTTCGAATATTTGAAAATTTCACCAGATAAACAAGTGAAATATGCGGCTTGTAGGCTAAAAGGAGATGCAGGATCATGGTGGATTCAATTAAATCAGCATTGTCATAGAAGGAAAAGGATATGTGCGTGGTTGGCATCGAATGAAATAACTACTTCGCGGCCACTTCCTTCCTACTGATTTCAAGCAAATGTTATATATTCATTACCAAAGATGTGAGCAAGGAACATAAACTGTTAGTTCTTATACAGAAAAATTTAACATGTTGTGTGCATGCAATAGCCTGAACGGATCCAATCATTAATTGGTTGCTAATTACGTTGGGGGTTTGAAGGAGAACATCCAGGATCGATCCAATACAAACACATTACCGCCACATGAATATGGCTAGTGATACAACGTTGGAAAAATTTAAGGTACCTTCTAATGTTGTCGAGGGTATCCAATCTCAATCAGCAACTACTATACCAGCAATAAATCCTCCAACTGGAAAACAACCATCAAACAAAGACAATAGCTATGTCAGACTACGACCATCAATATCCTTTAGGTGCCTTCAACCTTGTCATAGATCCAATGGTTGTCTGAATCGGAAGAAACTTCAGTTGTTAGATGCTGACAATGAATATGAAGAAACTGAAATCATCCAAGAATCTCAAACCATGGACGAATTATCGACCGATGAGGGAGAATTTCTTTCGTGCAACCTTGAAAAGGTATTGCTAGCTCCTAAAAAACCTATTAATACTCAACGCCATGTGATTTTCAAGACCCGGTGTACAATCAATGGCAAAGTATGTGATATTATCATTGATAATGGATGTACTGAAAACATAATTTCAAGAAAAGCAGTTAAAGCATTATATTTAAAGACCACCAAACATCTCAATCCTTAAAAAATTAGTTGGGTTCGAAAAGGTGTTGATGTATCAATTAATGAATCTTGCAAAGTAACTTTTTCAATCGAGAAAAACTGTGTGATATCTTTGAGAAGGACGTTTATCACCTAATACTAAGTCAGCCATGGAAATTTGATATGGGGGCAATCTATGATTGTAAGGCTAATGCTTATTCTTTTGAACGGAAAAACAAAACAATTCAACTGCTTCATATAGATCCTACTCTTAAATGTCCTATAACAAATAACGTTGGATTCTTGACAGTACCTGGAAATCATATTATTACTCAATTCAAGGAGTGTTTATTTGCAATTTTGGACACCGAATCATGCAATTCACGGCAAAAATTTCCTACAGTTTTATCAAAACTGCCTCACAATATCAAGTTATATTTCCAAAGGACCTTCCAAATCAAATGGTTCCATCCAGCACCCAATTCGAATTTATTCTAGCATCGACACTGCCTAATGTACGACATTCCATGTACGACATTCCACAATTAATCGCAAAGAGCAAAAGATCTTACAAGAAATAGCTGAAGAATTTCATAACATGCAATTCATACGTTCGAAAGAAAGAAGAAAGTTGGCAACTATGTAATGTCAGCCGTACCATTAGCAAGATTACAGTGAAAAATCATTTCCCTATGCCTCGGCTGGAAGATCTTTTGGATAAACTTCCAAGTGCTAAACTTTTCTCAAAATTAGACCGACACAGTGGTTATCACCAAATTCGCATTCGGCCCAAAGATCAATGGAAGACGTCTTTTAAAAAATAAGAACGTTTATACAAGTGGTGAGTCATGTCGTTTGGTTTTTACAATACTCCCAAGTACATTCGTGTGGCTCGTGAATGAGGCATTAAAATCTTTTTACATAAATTCTGCGTTGTTTAATCTAACGATATTTTTCTCTTTAGTACTTCCTTAGATGAGCATCTTAATCATCTCCCATTAGTCGTCTCTACTTTAACACTAACTCTACTTT